CCAGACGACCGACCGTCTCTGGCGCAAGAACAGGCAGACTGTAAGCGGTAACAGCTGCGTCGGCCGTGACATCAACCGTACGTCTTCTTTCACTTTCACCGACTCGTAAATAACTAACGCCTCTTCAAGGTAATTGGCCCTACAAGTGGGAAGTCACAGGCGGAGCATCCACAAACCCCTGCTCAGAGACCTACAAAGGCGTAGCAGCCGGCGACGCCCCCGAGCTCCGAGGCCTGAAGGCGCAAGTCGACTCGCTTAAGGCGTCGCGTGGTATCCGTCTCTACCTCGACGTGCAGTACGTCTCCAACCTCCCACCAACCCTCCCAATCCAAACAAACAAACAACTAACCACACCCCAGCTCCTACGGCCAATACATCCTCTGGCCCTACGGCTACGACTGCAACCTGCGCGCCGAAAACGACGCCCAGCACCGCTCCATCGCCACCCGTGCCCAGTCCGCTATCCGCGCTGTATCCGGTACTGCTTACACCATTGGCCCCAGCTGCGCGACTCTCTATGCCACAACTGGTTCTTCGACCGATTACACTGATGTCACGGGTAATGCGACGTACTCTTACACGTACGAGTTGAGGGATAAGGGCACGTATGGGTTTACGCTGCCGGCGAATCAGATTAGGCCGACGGTGCTGGAGACTTGGGCGGGGGTTGCTAGTATGCTTAGGGATGCTTAGGGTGGGGGGTGGTTGTTGGGGTTTGGTGTGAATTGATGTATTGGATTTATATATTGCCAAATCATTGTTTCTTCTACATACGACGTGAGCGTACTTTGCAACATTACGAAGTCTTGAAGCATGCATATTGCTCCTGCCGGTAATCGCTGGCGGTACTTGAGCACTGCTTGGCGCGCAGCTCAACGCACTCGTTCCACTGCATAGCAGGCTCTGCTGCCTAACTGCGTCATTGTTGGATTGTTCAAAGTTCAGCCACGGCTTGAATCTTCATGGGATAGGGTTTCCTCGCAACTGCAAGTCAGTGCCAGGTTCGGCCGCAAGTTGGTGGGTGTGGGGGCGGAGCTGCCTAGGCAGGTAGGCACGCTAAGAGGGTGGGCGCCTAATCGTGGGGGCGGTTGAATGTCTATTCTTGTGAACAGCATGCGCGAGCCCGGCGAATACTCCCCAGAGTGTTGAATCAATGCAAGGGATTGTATACCGAAGGAATGTGGGTGCTCGCTCTATTGGTCCGCTTCAAGAGCCGAGCTCACCAAGTCCTGTTGTATCACTACATCTGGCTGCACTCCGGACACGGGCCGCCTGAAACGTCACATCTTACTTGCAGACGGCAAGAGACCAACGAGAACGACCCTCCCGGGGTCTGTTCAGCATGCATCGATCCCTACTCCTCAGCCTTACTTATTTTACGATACGGTCCAACAGTTTGACTAGACTACGAACCGTCACAAACTTCTCAAGCTCTGGCATCCTTGAGGCGCTATGGAGAATACCAGAGGAAGCCACCATGGTGGAGTCGGGCTTCAAGCCGGAGGAAACCGCCATCACGAGATGGAAACTCAGCAATTGCTACCATTAACATCGACAGCGCATTCTCGAACGAATACTCACAGATCTCATCGAGCATCGATCTCCAATGTTTCTAGAGTAAGCTCCATGGAGCCTGGCGGCGAACGAAAGTATCCATATGACTTTATTCGCACTGCTCGTCCTAACACACACGCAGGACCAGAATGGATGCCTTTTGCGCTACGATGGTACTTTATCACCACCGCTGCCGGGTTTTCTATCACCTGCGCAGCCATCACATACGCATTGTATCGGTACTCACATAACAACAACGGGCTGTGTGCTGAAGACTCAGCATTGCCGGGCTGGAAGTTCATACCCACGCTGATCGCTGTCGTCTATACACAATTGACCGGAATCATACTCGGTGCTGTGAAACGGACAGGACCTTTTGCAAGAATGGGCAAAACAGACGGACGTCTCCCAGTTGCCCGTTATACTTTACTCGAAAAGGCTAAGCCATGGTGGACAACTCTCACTCGAGGATTTCAAAGGCGAAGAAATGGCGGATCATGGAATTGGGTTACAATCCTCTCATGCAGCACCTATATTCTGGCCATACTTGGAATCTCACCGATGTCTGCTGCACTACTGAGAACAAAAGAGATACACCAAACAAGTCCGGAGACAGTTGCACGACTAGAACTGCGCAACAGATTGATGCTACAACCACGAGCTGAGCGAGATACGTATCTGCGAACTATGGGCGCGATATTCCAAAATTATAGCTCCTCCCCCTGGATTACTGACGACTTTGTCATCTTACCGTTCTGGCCACAAGATTCAGTTGATACTGGCTCACGTTGGGACTATAAGGTTCAAGATTCAGGAACTTGGGAGGCAAACACGACTGTTTTCCACGCCGATTTAGTTTGCGCCAAACTGGATATGAAGAAGAAGGACATGTATCTCCGGCATGCACCCGAAGGATGGGAAGAAGAGCCTGAAAAAAAGTTCTATCAAGCATCTGTTCTCCTAGAGTCCAATGAGGGTTGCCAGTTTAACCTCACTGTCGACGTGGAGTATCACGCCCTTACTACGGATTGGATTTCCTGGAGCGACATCAACAACATCACATCGGAAGACTACCCCATGTCAGATGCTATCGTTCAATCGAATGAACACTGCCACGAGAATGAGATTGTTATGATGAGTACGCCGTGGTGGCCCAGGCAGGATATCACGCCGACCGAAAAATTCCTACAAAACATGACGATGCTTGCATATGCATGTCATACAAGCCATAGCATGGCCACCATCCCAGCTCGTGCCACAGCCTCATCAGGGACATTGTCCGTCGAGTTCGATGAGAATCTTTTCCACCAAATTGGCACGCCAGTTCCCCCGACCGTCCTTGACTTACTCGAACTACGCAAGGCTTATACGGACATTAAATGGAGCGATTTCGTCCCCCACGAGACCAAGACGTCTGACATCGGGATCGAATTATATGATGTTCCCTTTACGGGCCCAGCGGCGATCTTGGGTGAACCATACAACTTCAGTATCCCACGAATGATGGCTGATTCTCAATTGCCTGTGGTGGCTGCTCAATTCCGACGTCGCTTCTTCGCAGAAATTGTTGGTGGTTCTCTGCAACGCACGGAAGTTTTAGAAGAACGTTCTACGACTGGTCATCGACTTGGATCTGTCCGGATAGTGCTAGTCAGCGGGCAAGCTGCCTGCATTATATGTGCTCTGTTACTCATTTGCTTTGTATTCTTTCTAGGCATCCTGTGGGAGACGCGAGCGGCTAAGACAACTCTTAACATTAGCCAAGATCCAAGTACACTGCTGGGCACAAGTATATGGGGCAGCGGTGATGCGATAGTGTTGCGCGGTTTCACAAAACTCGACCTCGCCACAAGAAAGACATTGAAAGAAGAACTTGCTGGAAAAGTCTTCTATTCCAAGCATGGCAAGCTTCGAGAAAGTGAGGTCAACATCCAGGACGATCATGAGAGTACGTACTTGCATAACTGTTGGTGTATTTTCTGACACGTGGCAGAAAAAACAAGAGTGCAGTCCTATGACATCGCACCTGTATTACCCATGCTACGACTACGTAACCTGACTTTTCTCATTCTTTACATCCTTGCTCTTCTTGCTGGAATCGTAGTGCTTTACGTCTACGCGCGGAGGTCAGAACTTCATCAGGCTTTCTTCACCTATCGCGCCAACATCAAGCTTCTCGGTCATTCAAACACAGTATCGCCCTAATCTGTCATCCCGACTTTGCTCGCTATTGTTATCACGCTCTGGTGGGAGTCCGTTGACACCACTTGTAGGACGGTACAACCTTACATTAGCATGCAACATGATGCCAAGCGTCCTTCTCAGGGTATCGCATTATCCTATCTATCATGGTTCTGGCTATTCGCATCGTTGAAAGCTTTAAAGAACCGACATTGGCTGCTCTCGCTTATTACAATGACGACGTTTCTCCTCCAAGCTCGTAAGTGCACATTCCAAGACTAAGCTGTAACTACAACTAATAGCTGTGATCAAGTCACAATCGCCATGTCCGCTCTCTTTGACTCGGGTAATGGCGTCTTGACTACTTCCTCGGAAATTCCGCTAGCATTGGAGCTGCGCAGTGTTCCATTCGTGCAACAAATATCGGTAAACAGAGATCAACCTACCTGGCTGTTCAACTACACCATCGACGAGAAAAGTTTCTCAAGCGACCTTGGCGACTTGGTGTGGGACAACCTGCAGAGCCTGTCAAAAGACTGGATGTACACCGCTATTATACATACTGCGCTAGAGGGCCCAAAACCAGTGTGGAGCCAAGATGATTGGAGTTTCATGCCTGTATGTTCCGATGTGGAAGGCTTCGCCTCAGCTGAGAACAATAGTTCAGCAGGTAGGGGCGACCGCTCCGTGGAGAGCCTGAGAGTCCATACATCTGCCATTCGTGCTCGCCTGGAATGCAGTGCTGTTGAGTGGCCCAGAAACACGAGCCTGTGGCTTCTGTCGCACAACGACGGATATGGACGTAACATCACTGGACTAGACAACTATTTCACGATAGCACGAGTCGTTGACGATCGCAATTCCACGACGTGGCTTTCTACCCAAGGCAGCATTCCACCGTGCTGCGCCAATCTCACTGGAAACGCAACGTACAATCCAGCCGCAGTTGCTTATTGGACAGAGAATTGGGAGGAAGTATCTGGCTGCGAAGACAGTCGCGATTATCGTACATCTGGAAATTTTACAGTCAAGTGGATCCGAGGCTCTGGAAAGGTTGAACGATTCCTCACGGGTATGCGCCGTAAGCCGGATGTATACATGTTCGTATTCCCAGAGCCGCCCGCTATACAGGCATTGAACTGCATGCCTATCTTTGAGTCGAGCCAAGCAGAAGTTACGGTGGAGCCCAAAACCGGTGTCGTACAGCACTACCACATCCTTGACGTTCCTGTTCGGGAAAATGTCGCTTGGTCTGATACATCCCAATGGCGTAACCCTTACGAAGACGCTCGTTACACCAACTTTAATATCCATCATGACCCTGACTTTGAGGTCAATAGCTCTGAATGGAGGGCTAGCAGTTTCAAGTCTTATGACTACAATATCAACACGACTACTAGGTGAGTTAGACTATAAACATTGGTTTCGTTCCGTCTAATAGATCACTACAGTTACGGGCCCTTGTTCGTGCAATGGCTCTTGAATGCCGCAAACATCGATGGGCCTTCCTCTAAGAGTCCACCCCGAACATACGAGAACTCCCCAAGACCCAACCCTCAATATTCAGATGGCAGGGCCTTCAACATGCGAGACAACACAACAGGTCTCAATCTCGATTTCATGTCGTACGCCGCTTACGCACAAGTGGGATTTGATCCTACCGCCCTACTAGATCCGGAAGTCTTGGCTAAAACATCCTCAACTGTCTTCTCGACCTTCTTTCAACACTTTGTCAACAGCAATCTTTCTCGCAAATCTGGCGGTTATGTCTACCAACCTAGAGGCATGGAGCTCAAAATCAACGCCCCGATGGACGACATGCCAATACAGTACATGCCCGACGGATCCATAGCGCCAAAGTTCGAAGACATTGTCCGCAACACCAATGCAACAACAACAGCGGAATTAATCACACAGGTCGAGGTTCTTCAGATGAATCTCGTCGCGTTCTGGATCGCCACAAGCATCCTAATCTGGCTTATCATTACGATCATCATCCTCGGATCCGTGCAAAGAAAATACTACGGCGGTATGATGCGCAACATCGAATGCATTGCCGACGTGCTGGTTCTCATCGCTGGAAGCGAACGTTTGCTTGAAGTTATCAGAGAAAAGGGCTTCGATGCTATAGTCAAGGAGGACAAGATGTTGACGCGTATGGGATGGTTTCGAGACGCTGATGGAACCATGCGATGGCGGATTGACTTGGTCGAGGAAAAGCAAGTTAAGGTGCAGCCCATTCGTTTGGGCCCTGGGCATGCGCCCGTAATGAATGGCGATGGGGTGCGTGACGTAGATGCTATGTCGGAGCGTAGCGTCTCACCACCGGGTAGTAACGACGAAGGCCATGTAAATGCTGTGTCGGACGCTAGCGTCATCAGGTCGGGATGAAGTCCTGTCAGCCGCCCACGGAGGATTTGTCGAACTGACTGACGCTATTTGTCCGGCGTTCACCTAGCATACCGACAATTCTGGACGCGTCGTTGTTTGATGCTGCCAGTGTCCCGGGAATGCGATGCATGATGCTTTTCCGATCGCTTAGACACTGATAGAAGTGAAGATAGAGTTCAGTGTATCGTGTAGGAACGAAAGCACAGCATATCATGGAGGAGCGATGAGGGAGAAGGCTACTGTATGTAGGGAGCTACAGCGCGTGATTATATATTGTATTAACCCAGTAACTGTTTTGGAGCCTTGCGCTGGTGTTGCTAGTATGCTCAAGGATGCGTAGGTCTTGATAGTGGGGCTAGTTTGGCTGTTCTCTTCCCGACCCGCGCATTTGATTCATATTCGATTATACCGCCTCGTCTTCCACATACGACCATAGGACAATGAGAATTAGGCTTCCCGTCCGCTCAGCCATATACAAGCATTGTACCGGTGGATTAGTACCTAGGTGGGTGACCACTAGGGAATCCCCACTGTTGTATGTTTTTGAAAAAATCTTCTTTTTGCTTCGGCCGCCGATGTGCCGATCTCATCATGCCCATCATCAACACCCTTCCCATAGCCTTTGTTTTTGCGTGGCTACGTCCACTTATGGAAAGAAGCTCGCCTCAAGCTTGTCACGCGTCGTTGTCCCGACTAATCTGCTGCACCAGATCCCGTCTCGCCCGTTGAGCCCCAGCCTCCGTCGTGTCGGCCTTCCAGAAGAGCGACCCGAAAACCCAAAGAGCCCGTAGAGCAGTGGCAACAGCAATCACGATGTTGGTCATCTGGCCAACTGCCTTGAAGAATGAACTTGGGCGGATGTCATATGCCGACATCAAGCTCTCCGCGGCAGATAACGAAAACAGCGAATACAAGCCGGCCTCGATGTACGAGATGCTTGTGGTAGCAGCTATCTGGGAATATTTTAATCCTTTGTACCAGCCGAAGCCCTCTCGAAAATCTTGAATGCCGGGGCAAAGCTCGCATCGACTGTGCAGTCGCCAATCCTTGCATGACTCGCAACTATTGGTACCACATGGCAAACACCGCTTTGGGTCAATTGGGATCAGGTCTCCCCATCCCTCAGGTAGTCCTGACAGTATCTGCGCGTTACAGGACGAGCAATCGTTCTTTCCACAAGGAGTGCACCATTTTGCATTGCAATTTCGACAGCCATTGCATTCGTCGCAAACGACGCATTTGCAACAGTTGGTAAACCCCCTGGTGCATGCTTCGCACTCCGCACACGGATATATCTCTTCCTGTCGTTTTGCGTTGTCAAATGAGAAAGACTTTAAGCTTGCGATCGTACAGCTGTGGATGACGGTGATAGCTCTAAGCGCATAGTAAGTCCAGATAGCCTGGTGGTCGTCCCGATGCCCATCGTCGCAATTGCTTATCCAACCCCACCAAAAAGCCGACACGCAGCTGCAGTCGTCGGTCGCTAGGCTGTTTTTCGTGAAATTGTTGATAAGCATTCCAATTGCGGCCAGGCCGGCTGCCTGTCCAACTATTACAGTGTATGTTTGCCATCTTGAAGCGAGTGTTTGTTTGGTGACTAATTGGATGGAAAGAGCACTGTTCTGCGCGTCGAGAATCATCAAACCGAGGATCGAATCGACTGGAGAGAGTTGATGGGCGTAGCCGGGTATTAAGAGAGCTATCGCGAGCGCAACATGGGTTACGAGAAGTCCTGCTCCGACTTCTTGTATCGCACTGTGAGCTGGGTTCAACAACCCAAAGAAGGCAATAAGCCCCAGAATAACGATTTGAGTCCAAGTTGCTACTCGAACACCGTCTCCAACAATGTCGGCATCTGCAGTCGCGCAGCGGTCGTCAAAGGTTCGCATCGTGTAAGGATTTTTGGAAATGTTCACGAAGCCAAAGACCATGATGACGAAGCCCATGGCTCCGGAGATACATTGTGTGATCGTTTCAACGTTCTTCCTCTGTCGCAAAGAAGGAGAGTACTCCGCTATTGTCGAGATTACGATCGCGCATAGTCGTAGCGCTAGAATCGTCTTCCCAGAAACAAGAGCGAGAGTCGATTGCCAGACCATCTCAAAAATAATAGCTTATACTAAGCAAACAAAGAAGGAGTCTCAAAGACCAAAGGAAAAGCAACGATATGTTGTAGGTATCCGGTAAAACACCTCCAGTTTTGGGGGAATTCACCGGTAAACCGGAAACATCGTCAATAAATACGCGCACGACGTATGTCGACCCACGCTTCTGGCAAGTTCGGTGTGTACCTTGCCTTGATAATTGGCCCAGATCTGAGTCTTTCGCTTAACGATGCAGTGGGCTGCATGGAGGCGCAAAGCTAAACTTGATAATTCCGTCATGCACTTACCGGTACCCCGCATCCCAATGCGTAGGCTCTCCAGCTGACGATTTCCACGGACCTTTTCACTCCCAATAGAGGAAGTCAAGCTCAACATTCCCTCTCCATACACGGATATCTTCTATCACCAGTGATTACAAAGCCCAGTCGTTGCAAGGTTCTGTCATGACTTCTCAGTTCCGATGGCCATTCTCCTTGAGATATCTATACACGGTGGATGAGTTGAGACCGTCTTCGCAACCGCCGTTATCAACACCGATAGCTGCTTTACAACGATCGAATCAACATCACACATTCGAATGGCCTTTCTCCTTGCAATACCTCTATACCGTTGACGAGTTCAGACTGGGGTCGTCATCAACACCCCCATCTAAGTCATCGGTGGTTGCGGATGTGCCTACTTTACCAGGGAAGAGAGGCAGTACCTCCGTGGAAGTTGAAGCTACACCCGTAGCATCATCAAGCAGCAGCAGAAGGCGGAAGCCACCACATAATCTTGACAATCAAGGCGAATTATCAGATCTTAGATTTGAACTGAGGGCCACAGAAAGAGAGCACGCGAAAAAATTATTTGAACTGAGGGCCGCAGAAAGAGCGCACACAAAGAAAGTGCAGGCAATGCAAAGAGTGAGCTACATCTACTTTTTGGAACCCTTTCTTCCTAGAGAACAATATGCTGACTAACGTGATTAAAGCGCTATCTATGCTACGTTGTAACTCTCTCGCTCATTCTCGGTCTTACTTTGCTTTTCCTACCGATCCGTCTGACTCTGATTGTTTTGCTCATTCCCGGTCTTGCTTTCTCTTTCTCCTCGGTTATTGATTTTGTTCTCGATAGACCGAAGTCTACAAGTGGAAACCCATCGTACCAATGATGTCTAGTGTTTTGCGCGTTTTAAGTTGACACGATATTGCCAGGCAGTCCCTGGGTAAGACCACTTCCTGGGCGCTATGAATGAAAAGCGTTATGGTTGTAGCTTATGTCTCAAAGCAAAAAGCGCGAGTGGGTTTGCAATCTCTATACAAGACTGCTGTTTTTAATTAAGCTGTTAAACAGCGCAGATGAAAGTCTTTCAGAAATCAAAGATCTTGCACGGGAATCGGACAGAAACACTACACAGTCGCCATGAGCAGTGCTCAGACCACCCCCTTGACCACAAGCGCTTGTGTTGACGATAATTCTCTTTTAGAGACCACAACTCCAGTGTCGAATAGCTACATCCTATATCGATGGCGGAACGTCTCTTGTTGCAAAAACGATCATAACAAGGAGGTACCGACTAAGCGAGATTTATCACCGATTAAGGAAAGTCTGACGTCTATATCACCGACTAATGAGATCGATGAATTCCATATTCTGTCCGAACCCCAAGTATAGCGCAGCAGACAGAGCGAGCAAGTCTTATTGCAATTAGTCTTCGCATTGCAAGACTAGGCTATCAGTGGCATAGATCCAATTTATGCGCCGACTGAAAACTTTGTGTAAGAGCTAGACAGTTGATCCACATCGCGGCCAATATGAGAAGGTGAAAGATCTGATGTGAGCTGCCAAACAAGTCGAACTTGCCCGGAGCGAACCGTTCGGGAGGCCGAGTCTGCATGGATGGTCAGTTCACATGTCTCTCTAAATACAAGAGTCAATCATCTCACTTACTGCGAAGATGAGAGTGCCGAATGCATACAACGAAAGCTCTATCAAATACCACTTCATTCCCATGTAATCGAACATGTATTTGGGACCGTGTAGACCGACGCCATGAAGTAAGGGAACGAATGCGGACAGGCCGAAGAGGAAGAAGGCGATCACTCTCAGAGTGCGCCAGCGCAACGTTCTGAACTTCGGTATCGAGATCAGAGCAACGCAGGCCGAGCCTGAAACTATGGTCTGGAGAGGATATCAGCACATCGCACGACTGTCTGCTCAGGGTGACCCACAAGGACCCAGTGTAAGATCTGGAAGGCCGGCTGACAGATGAAGAAGTAATAAATAGCCGCAACGAATGTGCCAGCGATGATGACGGCAATGCCAGTAAGATCCATCACATGCCACAACTGCTCCACCTTGTGCGAGTGAGGCTGCATCAAGTGGTAGACAGCACTGGAGAGCAGACAAAACTCGCAAGCGAAGAAGAAAATGGTGAACATGACGTAGTCCGCCGGTAGAACGTCGTGGTACTGGGGCTCGGACAGAATCCGCATGTAGATGTATGCGACAGGCCATACCAATATCGCGCCGATCAGGTGGGTGTATATGTTGCAGGTCTCGTTGTGGAGGTAGGTCAGACTGAGGAAGATGGCCTTGTATTCGGGCTTCTCTGGTCGATAGCCGGTGTGGATGAACTCGTTGTCTCGCGACCAATCTTGGATCTCGTCATAGGTGAGGAGCTTGGGCCGTCTTGAGGAGCGAACGGTATCTTTCTCCATGGTGCCCATATCGGCGGCTGACGAGCGTCGTTTCTCAAGTCGGACTCACGTTGGGTACCCCTTCTGTGTGCTCGGAAGTGGAATGGCTGGAAGGCGATAGTAATATCTGCACCCAGATTAACCAAAGTGCAAAAGCCTATAGTTGACCGGGAAGATCGCGTCTTTGACTCAGAGTTGGGCGCGGTCCTGGTCCTGGTCCAGGCTGATGATAGAAGTTGTACTCTAGTATGCGGGATGATGGTGATAGCTTGGAGGACGAGTGCTCGTAGCCATTTCGCACCAGAAATTGAAGTGAGCGGTCCATAACAATATCGATACCCCCTACCTAATTGCAAACGCTGATGCGTTCCACACGCAAACGACGGGTGACGAGTGACACCGAAACTCGCCAAAAGTCATGTCGCGTTAAGCAATTGCAGCATAGACACTATTACTATGTAGCATCTGATCATGATGGAAGACGATGTACCCTTCTGTTCAATTCGTGGGAGGATACGACATGGGTTATGGCCAGATTTGGTGTTGACAAGTAAAGAGTGACGCGTTGGCTCGAGGTTGGGCAACGCGCACGGGCGGGCGTCAACCCCGCCGAGGTCAACACCAATGGACTCGCGCCCATCCAGCGCGCCAACATGGCCACTCTACACCGCGAGCGCGTCGAACACGCGTTGAACGAGCTGCTGGTCCGCATTGTGCCCGAAGACCCTAATGAAAACGAAGACGAGGCCAACCAGCGCTTTGAAGATGCCTACGAGTTTGCCCTCGACGAGCTCACGACTGCGGGCGATGCTTCACTCGTTCCCGACGTCCAGCACATCGCCAGCCTGATAGACCGCAAGGGTAAGTGCAGCGAGGTGAATCACGTGTCTTCCGCTAACAGGTGACAGTCTCGGGCCCCAACAATGACCAGCGCAAGAGCGCGCGTCTGCATAACCTTCTTTCGCGCCTAGAAACCCAGAGCGTTCTCGACCAGAAATGGCGCATGCTCTACTTTCTCTACAACCTCTCCGACAACGCCGAAGCACCCCACGAGCCGCCGCCCGCCCAAGATACCCGCAGCTTCTCGCGCGAACCGACGACGCCTTCCAAGCGCCAGAGCGTGGCAGCCTCATCCCACGCCATCCAAGACGCCTTTGCAAAGCCCGGCCTCGCCCAGCTGCCTGTCAATGCCGGATCGCCCAAAGCGCCCACATCTACACGTCCAGCTTCGATAGCTGAGAAGCCGGAGAAGCGCAGGCGGCCTGACACCGCCAAGGAGCAACAGCAGGCCAATGGTGGACATGTCGAAAAGGCAGAGACGGGGCCCTCTGAGCCGACTTTGCTGCGAGAATTACCTTTCACACTGCAGGGCTACTCATCGACAAACCTCGCGTTCCCCTCGTCGACCGCCCTCAAGCTTCCCACGACCCTCCCGGTACCAATCGTCAGCCTCTTACACACTCTCGCTGAACCCGCCATACTGTACAAAGGGTTGGCCGAATTTGTCGAGGCGAGCGATGGCGGCCTAATCGAGCAGAGCTTCCGCGCAGCTCTAGCCAAGGAGCTGAGAGCATATCTGGGCCTGGTCGCGACCTTGGAAGGACAAATAAAGAGAGCGCTGGCACAGCTGAACGAGGCCTCAACACCGCAGGGTGTCAGCAAGGCCGGTGTCACCCTCAAGCGATGCGTCATCTGGATAAGAGAACCGACCATGGGCTTGCGCTTGATGAGCTTGATGGTCGAGGAATCCAAGAGCAAGAAGGGCGGCGAGCTGATTGCCCTCATACATTCCTTCTCCCTCAACCACGGCGACCCGTACGTCATGAACTTTGCCGAGCGCCTTCTCTCCGATGTCACGCGACCCTTCTACGACATGCTCCGGCAATGGGTCTACGACGGCGAGCTTGCCGATCCCTTTGGCGAATTCTTCGTTTCGGAACAGAGCGAGGATGATATACTCGAAGCGAATGGAAACGAGGGCAAAGGTGGCGCGACGAGCGTCTGGGAAGATAAATACAGGCTGAACGACAAGATGGTTCCCACCATCGTTACCGACGACTTTGCCAAGAAGGTCTTCCTCATCGGCAAAACCCTCAACTTCATTCGCTATGGCTGTGGAGACGCGGCATGGGTCGACACATACTCCAAGGAAGCTTCCAAGGAGTTGCAGTACGGTGACACCGCGAATCTCGAGCGCTCTATCGGTGACGCATACAAGACCACCATGGCTCGTCTCATCGACCTGATGGGGAACAAGTTCAAGCTGTTCGACCATCTGCAGGCTCTCAAGCAGTATATGCTGCTCGGCGCTGGCGACTTCATTGCCGTCCTGATGGAATCACTTTCCTCTAACCTCGATCGGCCAGCTAATACGCAATACCGCCACACCCTCACTGCCCAACTCGAACATGCCGTTCGCAACTCCAACGCCCAATTTGACACCTCAGATGTACTGCGCCGACTCGACTCACGCATGCTGGAGCTATCACATGGTGAGATCGGATGGGATGTCTTTACGCTGGAATATAAGATTGATGCGCCTGTCGATGTCATTGTCACGCCATTCGGTTCCAAGCAATACCTCAAAGTTTTCAACTTCCTATGGCGCGTCAAGCGCGTCGAATTCGCACTTGGCTCAACATGGCGTCGGTGCATGACTGGTGCTCGTGGCGTTCTCGGTACCGTGGCTGACAAACTTGGCGCGGATTGGAAGAAAGCACGCTGCGCAATGGCTGAGATGGTTCATTTTGTCAACCAGTTGCAACACTACATCCTCTTCGAAGTCATAGAGTCATCCTGGATAGATCTGCAGAGGGCGCTCAACAAACCGGAGAGCACACTTGACGATATGATTGAAGCTCATGCGATATACCTAAACAACATCACGCGCAAAGGTCTGCTCGGAAGCTCCAGTATCGACTTCACAGGGCAGCTCCATGAATTGCTAAAGACGATGCTGGCATACAAGGATGCGGTGGATGGCCTGTACTCCTTCTCAGTCGCTGAGTTCACACGCCGACAAGAGCACGCGGCCAAGATCGAGACACGTACAGCAGCAGGTCGGTGGGGTCTCTCTGAGAAAGATCGCTCATCTTCAGATCCCTTTGCTCCCTCACACTCTCGTGCCGCTTCCCGCCAGGACGAATCGCCTTTCCCACCCCCGCTCCTCAAAATCGGCATGACTGGTTCGGCCGAAGATGACGTTCTGCCAGCGCTACAAAAGCGTTTGAGTCAGTTGACGGAAGATTTCCGAGCAAGAATCAGCATCCTGCTCGGAGACTTGGTACATTCGCCTGACGGTGAACTGAAGATGCTGGCTGTCAACATCAACTTCAACGATGTGTACAAGCCGGAGCGAAGACGTAGGAAGGGTTCGCAGAGAAGAGAGAAAGAAAAGGAAACGCCTAGGGTTGCGCCTGCTGCGGGATGAGGTGAGGAATAAGACGGCGTTCGATGCGATATTTGATACCCGACTACTTGATACCATCCGTAATGCGATCGGTCTGTGAAAGACAATATCTGTAGTTCTGTGCGCAAAGCGTGATGCAGTGCATTATCAACATCATAAGCTGATGAACCCTGGCAGAGCTTACTGAAGCACACAGGTGGGTCGACGAGGATGTAGGGAGATATCCGTCCGCGAGCGCGTGTCCCTCGGATCTAACATAAGTGGGGTTGTGTCATCATAGCTTCTGGTCAAGCTTCGTGGCGCTCATCGGGCCGCATGTTCTTAAGGCTTATGTGCCGAGTGTAAATTCCGATGTACGAAGATAGTAAATATCTCACAACCGTCGTACAAGTACTGGAAATTGTATGTTTTACTTGCGCTGAGTGCGAGCCGCAAGCATCCGACCTTGACGGCGAGCTCAATAACTAATATGCTCGCTCGGCCGAGGTGATGAGCACAGGGATCTCCATGACTGCGTCATCCATACACCACAACTTCGCGCACTACAACTGATGTCAATTCTTCGAGATGACGCGTAGCCTTTTACTCAGGGAATGAATTACTCTCAGCGCCTAGATCGAATCGGCATCCATCGATAACACTAAGATCACTCTCTATGGTTCCTTCGAACGACCCGGGCCCCTGCTACATGCTGCGCAGCTTTTATACCTCATGCTCCACCACTAGAGCTCGGAGAACGTTCGGCATGGCAACAAGACATGCTTCCGGTGAAACATCACCGCATTCCGCCAGACCGCCCTCAACGCTGGCATAAGCTTTCGCTCTTACCTGCTAGCGCCCGCCGAAGTATATCTAGCTCGTAGTCCCTCACCAAAGACGACAACAACCACACTTGGAAGCCAGGCATCCAACCTTGTTGTCACTTCACGTTATCCAATCAATACTCACGTATACTACCCATCGGTACACGCTATCTCACTTTTCGCTGCCTGTCGGACCGCGTCCTGGATACAACGGTAAACACATCGCACCATCCATATTCGACATCAACACATCTTCCCAGCGATGGCAACAACACATCAAAAGCAGCCTACAGGAGAACAGCAAAGTACAGTTGCAGATTACATCGACTCTGCGGCTGAGTCTGTTCCCAACTCAACATGGGCTATAGTCCCCCGTTCAAGCAGCAGCCTGGACGAAGGATGGCACCACGTCACGTTCGCCGATCTTGCGCGTGCAGTGGACAACATGTCGCGATGGATTGAGCGAACTTGTGGTGTCGCCGAAAAGGTTGGCCAGACAATTGGCTATATGGGGTTAGTGGGCAATCCTGTCTGCGTGTCGGTCCCGAATGTTGCATACTTACGCATTGTGTAGCGTGAACGATCTACGATATCTTGTGGTACTAGCAGCATGTCTCAAGACAGGATACGTACCGCTTTTCACATCGCCCCGGAATTCGCTCGATGGTCAAAAGTCACTCGTGGAGAAGACAGATTGCACCATCTTCTTGACCACACGCGATACGATGCCGCAGGTCGAAGCGATCAAGGCGGCGGTGAGCAGCCTTAGGATCTATGAGGCGCCTGCTACTCGAGAGCTCCTTGACCCA